GTGCTGTTCAGACTATAATAAAGGCTGAAATATGAAAAACAGCAACCCACTACAGTCAAATTCAGCTTTCATACAATTTTAACAAAGTGAACTGTGTGTTTTAAACTTTAATTATAGACATATTAAATTGGGTAAACACTCTAAAAAGTACTTGTAAACGTGGACACTTGTAAACTAACATAGAAAGACACTTTAAATGGTGTTCTCATAGGCTACAAGGGAGTTCTCGCCCTCATTCAGAGCTATGTATTCAGTCTGGCATGTTCGGCCCAAAGGGACGGGGCCAAGGCACAAGGAGGCCCAATATTCCAAACAAAATGCCTCTCATCGCCTAAATCCATCACTGCAGCGGAGACAGGCGAGTCCCTCTTTCTCTGGATGTTTAAATGAGAGAGTGTAAGCATGTATGTGTTGACTGGTCCTGAGTGGGTTTTCTGGCCTCTGGGATGATCCACAGAGAACCAGTTAGTTTTTCTTTAAGTCTTTAACACTATTAATTAGACTTAAGTATTCCAGAAAGCTGTGTAATAATACAAATTGACCACAGAACTACAAAACTGAACTGTAAAGCAGGAAGACTAAAGCATATGTCGCATTCAGATTATAGTGTGTGATGTTTGTTTTTATGTTTCACAAGCAAAATCGAATAACATGTTACAATTTCTATTCCTTGTAGAGTGTATTTATATAAAAGTTAAAAAAAATGAAGGTCTGCATGAGTTTTAATAATACACCCTCTTTGTTAGACTCTGTGGTTTGCACACCTGTGTTGACGGGCACGCTGTCCTCTAGCCGCCTTTAAATGGAAGCATAAACAAGCATATCCAGCTGGGGAAACCCAGACTCACCACAGCCCCGCAGACAGGCCTGCCGCCAGCGCCTGTATCTTTTCACACAGACACGCGCATTTGATCATTCCATCTGGAAAAGAATAGCAAAAGGATCTCAAAAGACATAGGAAACATTCTAAATTAGCATTAGGAATATTCAACAATTCCTAGAAAACAGTGAAGCATTCATGAACAAAATCAAATATTAAAACATCTCTGTGAATATATTAAATTCTGATGCCCAGTGCTGGTGCCAATGAGCGTGCCAGACGATGCCAAACTGCATGAAATATAAGCAAGCTCCAATGTGGCTGACTCTGAAAGTATTCTGATGCTTCAGGGCCAAATAAGACACTGGGAATTTCCTAGTGTGCTGCACTGATTTTTAAATGAGTAAACATGCTAAAACAAATAAATAAAAATGCAAATGAACGCCACAACATTATTACAACAGCAGAAAATGTGATTTTTAATGCAACATTCATGGGTGAGTTCTGTGTGCATAGTTTGACTGCCCTCTATTGGTAACTACATGTTATGTGCATGACAACAAATTTAGCATTGAAACACTGCACCCTTGTGACTAAATCCAGAACAGTTCAAGTTAATAACCATAAGAATGGCAACATCTGTTATTGTAATTGATCAACTTTTGAAGCTGATTAAAAATAACGTTTTTAACCACAAGTTTTCCAATCACTTTAATTGCATGTGGGGATGTTCAAGAAGATAAAGACTAGTTAAAAACGTGCGTCAGCGGCAACGATTTTTATTTCAACAAATGTTTAGATGAAATGACTCACCCTCGTGTCGTGACAAGCCCATAGCATGCTCTTAATTTTGCTGTTCAAGAAATATTTCTGAATCATCATGCAGGTCTTTTATGGTGGCCACGTGGCATAAGCTGCCAAACAAAATTGTATACTCGTGCGCAATATTCTAAATTATAGTTTTGTGTGATGAACCCATTACAAATTAAGTCATTATTCACTGATTATTTTAAGTAGTTGGTATCTGAAGAACAACTACTATCGGATCATCGAGTGAACTGATATCGAGAACCGGATTCGTGAATGAATCACTTTAGAACCGGTTCTTTGTAATGAACCGATTGTTTTGCTTTTAAATTGGCCTGAACGACTCACGAATCAGCACTCAACTGACGCAAGGTTCAGGTTGCAAAAGTTTTCGAATAAATGGCTATCTAGAAATGACCAATTTATCAGTAGCCTTAAAAGAAATTGAAAATTGTATTTAACGTTATGCTATTCAAACTAGTGCTAACAGAAAAGCTTTGAAACTGTTCACTTACAACCAGCCTTCAACGTTGAAACAAGAACTGACCTGATTTCAACCATATCTCAACGTTGAACGCTGGGTACGGCATGTATTTAAAGTCTTTGAATAGTTCTAAGGTTATGTCTCCAAATGTGTGACTGACTTTTTTCTTAAATTTATGTATTTTCTGTTTGTTTGTTTTTGTCTTCCCCTTGCTCCCATGGCATTAATATGTATATGGTTGTAATGTTTTGTTGTTTAAAGCATAATAATGAAAAAGTTGAGAACTGACTGGAAGGAAAGTTAAAAACTTAATCCTGTAATCTATCGTTCTTACACAGAAAGCTTTTTCATATTTAGAGACTGTATATATGTTGTAAAATATAGTAAATCACATAATAGACTGTGTATGCGAAGAAAAAATAATTGGAGTAATGTAAGGCATGTGTTTATAGAAAGGCTCTTCTCCAAACACCATTTAGGCAGGCCTGCCACAGGTCTGGCACTGACGGACACTTTCCCCTTCCAGATCCATTCACAGACAATCCAGAGCCACAGAATGACAGAGAAGAAAGAAAGGGGTCAGAAGGAAAAGAAAAACAGAGGTTGTTCTGCATGCTCCTCCGATGGGCTCGCTGGGTGGTTTGTCTGTTTATTTAGTCTGTGGAGGTGATGGGAACTGAGCATTGGCCACTGCCAATTTTCTCCACACTGAGAAAATATTCATGTGGACAGAGAGCAGAGTCAAACAGACTCGGGGCCAACAGATACAAGACCCATTTCGCATGAAACACATTTCCAAATCGAAAAACCCAGCAAAAACTCCTTCAGCTCTCTCTTCTTTAAAATGCATGGTGGATAACCGAACTGAAGAAACCATGTCTGTAACAAGCCAGCAGTCCTTTTTAGCTATTCTAAGAGTGTGGTTTCAGAAGCAAAGCTAGGTAGTTGCATCCCAAGAGGATAACGAAACCACAACGCAACACTGAATTAAAATGATTTCAGACTCTTAAAACCACTGAAGGATTGAATCAGAATCAACACTCAAGGTCTCAGGAAGTTAATTAAGGTTTGTCTGAGGTGAACCTCCAAGTCCCTAAACGTGCGAGTGAGGATAATTTTAAATCAGACTAAAAAGGATTGAACAAAACGTTTATTTAACAGAAAATGTTAATCAGTTCACCACAACATGACTGACATGTTAAAATATACATTCTGAACAATTATTTTACGTTGAAACATATTTAACGACACATGAACACATAACCAAAACAGCAACTATACACTGAAAATTAGACTGCACAAATGACAATTTATTACAGATTAAACAAAGTTTTGTAAAACGAATACAGCAGTATGTGTACATCACATGTAGTGCTAGAGCAAGATACATATTCCCCATTTTAGTGCAATATATGTAGCACAGCTATATGCATTTACAGAGTGGGGGTGGGAAATGCCACCCAAAGAGCTCAGAGGAAGCAGTTGAGCTTTTAGGCCTCACACGGAGATGTGGGGCCACCCACTCACAGGCCGATTTTGTTTATTTTCATCCTTTGAGGTAAACTGTTCAGTGTGAGCTGTTTATTGGGCCTTTGATTTGTCATGTGTCAGCTTGTGCTTGCAGGGCAAGTGTATACACTGGTTGTGGCTTCTATATAGTGGTGGTTTGGAGGTCAAGGCTGGGGGGTGATGGGAAGGGTGGGTGGTATGAAGCGGTGCTCAAACCGCCTCTCATTTTGGCGTCATCAGGATAAAAAAAAAATAAAAAAAACGCAGTTCCAAGGCGGAGACGTGAAAGGAGTAAGAATCCAAATGCATGTAAATGAAGCACAAACAGCTGATGATTCATGAAGACGGCCTTGAATAACCAGGACACAGCATTCAAAATGTGATTTACAAAAGATTCAAGATGAGGGAACCTTTATTCAGTACACAAAAACAATGAAAACATACACAAAACGAACACTTGATATATCTCTAGCCAGATAGCAGATAAGATTACTAAAAGAACAAACTGAAGTTGCATTAGCTTTTGTAAGAGGTTTCTTTGCAGATGTTCGCAGCTGAATCTCATCTTAGATTAGTTTGGTGACATCCTGACCCTCTGTTCTACTTCAATAGCTGATCTCAAAGCCTGGTAAGACTCTGCAACAAGAAGAAGAAAAACAATTTCAATGCTCAGCAGGAAATGGCAGGCTTTTTCTCAACACCCTCTCAAACCACACAATTTGTGTCACTTCAACATGTATTGAAACTCAACCAAGTTATGACATAAACGGAGATGTGTATGAGGAGAGGGAGTAGTAATATTGAGGTAAATATGTGTGTTACATATTCTGTGAGCAAGTGCAAGATGCTCTGGGTACCTTCAGAGGAAATTAATTTTCCCTAAATAAAATGTACATTTCCTTTCAAAAGTCTAGACATCTTTTTTTATTATTATTATTATTAAAGAAATGAATACCAGTCAGCAAGGATTCATTAAATTGATCATAAGCAACAGTAAAGACATTTCTAATGTTACAAAAGACTTCTATTTCATATAAAGGCTGCTCTTTTGAAAACAAAAATGATCACGGTTTACACAAAATATTAAGCAGCTTAACTGTTTTCAACATTGATAAGAAATAGTTCTTGAACACTAAAATGAGCATATTAGAATGATTTCTGAAGGTTCATGTAACACTGCAGACTGGAGTAATGGCTGCTAAACGTTCAGCTATACCATCACAGGAATAAATTACATTCTAAAATGTATTAAAATAGAAAACAGCTATTTTGAATTGTAATAATGTTACACAATATTACTGTATGAGCATGAGAAACATCTTTGAAAAACCACGTAAAAAAAAAACCTTACTGACCCCAAACGTGATTTACAAAAGATTCAAGATGAGGGAACCTTTATTCAGTACACAAAAACAATGAAAACATACACAAAACGAACACTTGATATATCTCTAGCCAGATAGCAGATAAGATTACTAAAAGAACAAACTGAAGTTGCATTAGCTTTTGTAAGAGGTTTCTTTGCAGATGTTCGCAGCTGAATCTCATCTTAGATTAGTTTGGTGACATCCTGACCCTCTGTTCTACTTCAATAGCTGATCTCAAAGCCTGGTAAGACTCTGCAACAAGAAGAAGAAAAACAATTTCAATGCTCAGCAGGAAATGGCAGGCTTTTTCTCAACACCCTCTCAAACCACACAATTTGTGTCACTTCAACATGTATTGAAACTCAACCAAGTTATGACATAAACGGAGATGTGTATGAGGAGAGGGAGTAGTAATATTGAGGTAAATATGTGTGTTACATATTCTGTGAGCAAGTGCAAGATGCTCTGGGTACCTTCAGAGGAAATTAATTTTCCCTAAATAAAATGTACATTTCCTTTCAAAAGTCTAGACATCTTTTTTTATTATTATTATTATTAAAGAAATGAATACCAGTCAGCAAGGATTCATTAAATTGATCATAAGCAACAGTAAAGACATTTCTAATGTTACAAAAGACTTCTATTTCATATAAAGGCTGCTCTTTTGAAAACAAAAATGATCACGGTTTACACAAAATATTAAGCAGCTTAACTGTTTTCAACATTGATAAGAAATAGTTCTTGAACACTAAAATGAGCATATTAGAATGATTTCTGAAGGTTCATGTAACACTGCAGACTGGAGTAATGGCTGCTAAACGTTCAGCTATACCATCACAGGAATAAATTACATTCTAAAATGTATTAAAATAGAAAACAGCCATTTTGAATTGTAATAATGTTACACAATATTACTGTATGAGCATGAGAAACATCTTTGAAAAACCACGTAAAAAAAAAACCTTACTGACCCCAAACTTTTGAATGGTAACGTATGCGTCTATTTGGATTACAATGAAATACCTTGCAGTTTCCTCATGAATGTGTCAATCTCTGGTAAATTTGCTACGATATCAAACGAGGGATATTCCATAGATCTTGCAACCTCACTGCACCCCTGGAAAAGGAATGAGAAACAGAGATGAACACAAAGCCCACTTATCCTATGACTCAACCAAGGTCTCTGAGCCGTTTAAAAAAAAATGCTTGTCTGAAGAAATGCATTCAGGGGTAAACAAACAGCAAAAGGCGTTTTGTAACTTGATTGCTACAGGGAGTTTTGTAACTTTTTGAGTGATAGTGAGGTTTAAACAAAGCCACCCACTCAGAGCAGGTGTGTTTATACAAAACAGGAAAGGCAGAAAGCTACAAACCTTCAGTTCTTCATAAAACATCTCCTCCATCTCAGACACTTGGGATATAGCCTCAAACGCTGGGAGAACAGACTCCTAAAAAATACGTACATTTTAGCGGTTTTGTACCACATTTCTCAGACTCTAAATAAATAAAATGTACACACAATTTCAGGACAGTTATTTAAATTGGATTCATTTATAAACCCACAATAGAAACTATTACGTTATAATAAATTGCTAT